TACGCGTGATGCTAACATTACGCGTGATGCTAACATTACGCGTGATGATAGCATTACATTGCATCATTGCATCACAGCATTGCATCACGCCGCGTACTGTTTCGCGTAATGGGTGTTAGTAGCGACACCTGGCAGCAGCGCTACGTAACACTACGGCACGGATAGCAATGTCCCATCAAGTAGTAAGTCGAAAATTTGCTAGGTGGCGCTATTAATATCGATATATAATATACCCAAGTTCACCTCGTATGTGTAATAAAAAAAACGATACATTACGAAATAATTCCTATACGCATCATAATAATTGTTAATTTAACTTGAATGATGGCGAGTGCGTGTGAGACTGAGATACTGTTATATATCTCGGATAATTTTCCGAGAGGTAATGGAGACGGGGCAGTCGGGGCCAAAATTTAATAAGTTGAGGTATGGTTTTAAAAAAAGGGTTGTATATCTAAAAGCCACCTATAAGAAAAATGAGATTTAAGATGATCTCACACAGTGACAAATCCTCCACCAACCACACCATCACCAACTCTTGTTGGCTCCATCGTTTTCGTTCAGTAACTTCAACATACGTACTGTCTTCTCCTTAGTCTGCGTTTCAACTTTTGAGTTTTGTTTTGACACTTGGCGGAAATCAAAGTCAACGTCAAATGTGGGAAAATTAGAGGAAAAATATTGCAAACATTTCCGGAAATCATTTATTTTTCTGAAAAATACATATGATTTTTTTAATGGAAATTTTTCCATGACCCAACACTGAGTGAGATTAACTGAGAACCCCGGAAAGATTTACAATTTACATTCATACTTTATTGTAACAAGAAAACACGTGATTTTTTTTGGTTAGCATGGCTGTTGGCTGAGATCGCCAAATTTCGTAGAAGTTCCAGTGATGATATAACAATACATAAGCTATTTATTATTATCACCTTCAACTTTTACATCTTGACCCAAGATTGTATAAAAGCGTATCGATCTCCTTCTAGAAATATTGTAATATTATATTTAATCAAGCATTGATTAACAAATTATGAAATTTCAGTTTAAATTGTCTGTCTACGGTTTATTTCAATTACACCATCCACCAACCCACACCAACCACCATAGTAAGTTATTAAATAATTTGGGTGCTAATACAAACATCGTTCTACTACAACATTCCAAATTAGATGCATTAACATTGCATTACGCATAATATTACTATTACACGAGATGTCTCATAAACAAACATCATTCCGTGATGTTACCGTTACAACGTCACTCGCATTACTTAGACTATAAACATCACTCCGTAATACCACCATCACGCGTACTGTTTCAGGTAATACATTACGCGAGTACTGTTTCCGAGCGATGCATCACGCGGGTAATGTGTGATGCTAACATCACGTGTAATGCTAACATCACGCGTAATGCTAACATCACGCGTAATGAGAACATCACGCGTGATGTTAGCATTACATTGCATCATTGCATCACAGTATTGCATCACGCCGAGTACTGTTTCGCGTAATGGGTGTTAGTAGCGACACCTGGCAGCAGCGCTACGTAACCCTACGGCACGGTTAGCAATGTCCGATCAAGTAGTACGTCGAAAATTTGCTGGGTGGCGCTATTAATATAGATATTTACTATATTTAGTTCATATTGGGAAACTCCCAGAGCGCCCCGACATGGTCTATGTAATGGGTAATGTTATGAGTAATGCATATTTTTCCAAAGTGATGCGTGATATCACAGTACCCTGTCGCGTGATATCACCTTTGTAATATGACTCACATTACTTACACATGTCTATTATAAAATCTAATAAAAAAAAATAAATGTTCTGTGATTCCTGGAAGTTCAAGGAAAAGACAACACCAATCTCAAAAGTAAACTAATGTAACTATTAAATGGTGCAATGTCTTGTAGCAATATTGCCAATATTACAGCGACGATATCAGATGTTTCTTTTTGGAATTCCGTTGATATTCTTATAAAGAAACCTCATGTTGTAAACAAGAGGTTATGGGGCAGCAAAACTTTATTTAGAGATACTAAAGCTCCTGATAATTTACCGTTATATTATGAAAGAATAAAGAATATCAATAATATTCAGGAATACATAGATTCTTTTTACGAGAACTTAAATGTTAGCACTGATGATGCAATTTCGAACATACAATTTACACTCTTAGAATTGTTACCTAGAACGTATAACGAAAATCATGCATTCCAAATTGTTATACTAAATAAGGAAATTAAAACAGCTTTATTTTATGATGTCACACCGAGCTATATGGAACAAAATCTGTGTCCTACATTTAGTTATTCTTTTAAATTACATGAGAATGGTGTTCAATTGGAAGTGGAATCTGGTTAGTTATTTCTTTTTTCCATAATTTTTATAGTTTGCCCATCTTTACATGCCTTTATCCTTTCAAGGCATAATGATAATTTATATATATATATATATATAGGTATATATATTATAATATAAATATATATATATATGTGTGTAATAATAAATATAGTAATAAGTGTATTAATTACACAATTATATTAATTGTATAAATGCAGTGTATTTATTTTCAGAGCCCTCAAGCAAATCTTACCAATGGTTGAAAGATACAGTACTGCCACATTTAATAAAATGGGCTACAGAGAACTTTGAGAATGAATGTCATAAACAGATTTGCAATGAATCCCTAAGTTTGGTATCAATTGACAAATATTATTCTAAATACAATGAACTGAAGATCAAACATGGTAGGGAAATGGTTAAGGTAAATTAATGCACTCACACTATCAGATACTTGTAATAATTGAGTAAAATTGAAACAAAAACTGATGAGCCACACTTGTTCTTCTTTTTTAATGGCAAATGATATATATATATATACATATAGTTTTTATGTTTCTATAAATAATATACTCAACCTGGACAGCAAACGCTAAATCTCTTCAAAATATTTTTCAAATGTATGGACCTGAACACAATGCAACAAATCCATTCAATGAATCTAGACTGAAATAGCATCGAAATTTAACACATTTATCCATTTTTGTTTTGAAGCTCCTCAATTGTTCATTAAATGTTAGTAATAATAAAAATGTCATTGATTTATTCATCATATTTTAAATTCTTTTAGATTTGGCCAGAATGTACAGACCCATCAAAGTTTGTCTATGAAGATATTGCAATAGCTACATACTTGCTTCTTCTATGGGAAGACGAAAGAAGGAATCATAATTTGATCAACTATCAAACCTTTGTGGACCTAGGCTGTGGGAATGGCTTACTGGTTTATATCCTCATCAAAGAAGGACACAAGGGAGTAGGTATTGATATTAGACGAAGGCAAATATGGGGCATGTATCCACCAGACGTCAAATTAGAGGTAAAATTATTTGTTCAATTTTAAGTAACAATAAGTAGTACAAAGGAACATAACATAAATTATTAATAATTTAGTATTATAATTATAGATCATTATATTTATTATCAAAAACCATCTGCTGTAATGTTTTAACACTGATGTTTTACTTTCAGGTAAAAACAGTAACACCATCTGATGCTCATTTATTTCCAGAAACAGACTGGCTAATAGGAAACCACTCTGATGAACTCACTCCTTGGATACCAGTTATTGCAGCCAGAAGTTCCTATAAATGCAACTTCTTTCTATTACCCTGCTGTGCTTATAACTTTGATGGCTCAAAATACCAGCGTCAAAATTCGTCAATAAGTCAATACACTGAGTACTTACAATACATTAAACAAGTATGTGAAGACTGTGGTTTCCAAACAGTTACGGATAGACTAAAAATACCAAGTACAAAAAGAATATGCCACATCGGAATAGAAAGAACATACCCAATTGAGGAATATGATCAATATTGTAACAGAATACAAAATCTCATAAGTGTAGGCTCTAGCGCAGCAGATGTAGACTGTGAAAGTCTATGGATAAGAGATTTTAAAGCCAGAGAAGCCACGGAAAAAGTAAAAAATTGCACACAACTAGACAAAAGTTTAATAGAAAAAATTGTGGAAATTATTTCAAAACATCTATTACACAATTGCAATTTAGAATCTGTTTGGTCAATTGGCAAAACAGTAGGGCTTCGTGAAGTAATAAACATTATACCTAAAGATAAGCTTAAAGCTTTAAAGTCAGAATGTGGAGGACTACAGACACTTCTGAAGAATAATCATCACATATTTAAAGTCCAAAGTGGCACAGTCCAACTGAGATACCCAAAAACAGTAGAAGAAGTTTATAAAGGTCAAAACAAAACAAACAATGTCAAAATTCAACAGAAACCATGCTGGTTCTACAATAACCATCCCCAAGGATGTCCTTTAACTGATTTGCAATGCAGTTTTCTACATATTAAATCATGGTAAATAAGGAAGAAAAAATAATTAAATAAAACCAATTTCATTATTTATAATTAATTATTATGTACATACCAAGATAATATATTACTCAGTCAACTCTACAACAATATGTACCTACTTTGAAAATCCCACATCTTCCAAATCTATTATTATGACACCATTAACCAATGTCCCTTTCATGGACAGTAACAGCGTTTACCGTAAAATAAAATATTAGAATAAGATAATAGGGGTATCCTGTTTTGCTATAAGGATTACAAAAAAACAAATACGGGCTTTACAGTGCAACTTCCAAGTGCGTTCTTTGTAGTTGCCGCCCTGTTGAAAAGTGACATAGAGAAATATGAACTACATACTGACAAAATTCAATGATTTACATACATGAAACATTTTATATTTAATCAATATGAGCACTACGGCAGGAAAAGTACTCACATTTTTGTGTGCAGTACTATTTAAGTACTGTAATGAAAGGGTTGAGTAAAGCTTCTTTTGATTATAATAAATCAATTGCAATTATTAAATTTTATCATTACCAATTAGAAAAAAATATGTTTATAAGTTAGTAACACTAAAAGTTATCACTGCCGTATTGCTATCACATGATTACTTATCTATTACCCATACCATTAATTCTTTAGAGTGCCCACATTTTTTTAACCTTTGATGTTTGTTTAGTTAAATATACATGCCTACTCAATTTCGAAAAACTCATTCAATTCAGCTAAATTCCTATCATCAACTAATTTGGTGACCTCATGTTCTCCCATAAATGAGCAGACCATTCTCAAAGTGGTCCAAATTGTCAAGGAAGTGTTATTGACTGACGATGAACCTTGTTCCATGTCTTTAGCTTTGAGTTGTTGATTCAAGGCAACTAAGAAATGTTCTGCAGCTTGTCTATGAGCTCCCAAATTCATGCAAGTGATACCCACATTGTAACGAGCTCTGATAAAACCAGGTTCCAAATTGAGAGCTTCATGGTATGCTTCCACTGCTTGCTCAGATTTGTCACTGTTTGCTAATGTAGCACCGAGTCTGTTCCACAATTTGGCATCACTTACCACCATCAATGCAGTGCGTAAACAATCTACAGCCTTGTCATATTCACGACTTATATTAAACACTACCCCAAGACCACTCTGGACATCAGGATCAATTTGTGTAGGATTTAGTTGTGCAGCCCTCAAATATAATGTCTTCACATGATTTTCCAATTCTTTTGTATCCATAGTATTAGGGTCAATATCTTGAGGGACCAGGTCACTGTACTTGGGACTGGCTTTTAACCAATTCAAAAGAGCTATAAATGCAAACTTTGGCATATTTTCATTTGTATAGGCAGCTGCAAGAGTAATGTAAGCCTCTAGCTGTCGTGGATCTATTGCTAAAGATTTCTTAAGTGCCGTAATAGCCAAAGGATCTTGTTCATTTTCAGCTTGTGTGGTTCCAAGCAAATACCAAGCTTCAGCTGAATCTTGATTTTGTTGGACCGCAGCCTCAAAGCACATCACTGCACCAGGAATATCTCCCATTTTCAATTTCTCTTTGCCTATTTCCAAAGCACTCTTGTTTTCAAGCATCACATTTCCTTCAGTGAAGTTATATTCATCAGAAATACCATTGGCTATCTCTGAATTCCAGTAATCTGTTACATTGCTAAGTTTGTCCCATTCATCTTTATATTTCTCTGCCATCTCTTCCAAAATTTTTTCTTTGCTTAGTTTTTCCTGTTCACCTTCAACAGGTTCAGCAAAGTTCAGTTCGCCAGCACTTATTCTCTTCATAAATGACATGAATTCACTGTAGGCATGTTCATCATCTGTTCCAACTGTGTTTACATATTCCTGAGCCTTTGCTCTCACATCAGGTTCTGAAGTAGTTTCAAGTTCAGATTCGTTAACATACTGAATCTGCACATTTGATGGTTGGGACCGCAACATAGGTGGTGGAGGCATAAACGAGAAAGGTCTCATCATAGATGGAGGAGGCATAAACGATGTAGATGGGCCCGTAAAAAGCGTAGACGTTTGAGAGCTCCGACTAGGTGCAGCCATTGTATGTGTGTTGACTTTTTCAACTTCTGGAATGTTGTTGAGAAGAGCGTTCATATTGAATGTTTGTGGAACCGAAGCTTGGGCCATGAATTCGTTGACGAACCTGTCGGCCTGTGAGAGCTGAGGTTGAGCATCGCGACTTACTATGTGAGACAGCTGAACCAACGAATTGTTTCCACCGCAATCACCACCGACCAGCTTATTCAGCGACATTGTTACCTCTTTTTTTAAACTATTTTTATTGCCTATACTGTGACCTTAAATACGACATTATAAACGCATGTCGCGAAGATTGTAGGATGATTAGAAAAATTTGCAAGAATAAATTCTGACCTGACTAGTATATATAGTAATCTTTGATTCTGACCGAAGTTCACAAAACAACACCTACACTGAGTGATAAACTACGTACATCTCTTTCTCATAGTTTGTAACCTAAAAACGTCAACAACAAACAATAGAGCTTAGCGAATTTTTTTTTATTTCGTTTTTTTTCTTTCAACCGTGACATTGGCAAAATCATCATTTCTCATAATGATGGAAACATAAAAATAAAAAGTGAAGTGAAGCGATAATGACCACGCTACGAAAACACTAGTATTTGAGCCGACCATAGAAGATCATCCTCATAATCCATTTTATTCAGAACCTAAGTATCAAACTTACGTACTGGCTAGGGGGGTCTTATTTAATTAGACGTTACGAGGCCCATGGCGTTTGACACAAAAAACATTAAAAATGAAATATGTCTAATAATTGAATAAAGAATCGACAACTCTTGGAATGAAATTATGTAAATTATTTAAAATGCATAATAAATTGACGTGTTCAATTTATTGCTATAATAAGTTTTTTTAGTAGTTAAAACTTTAATAAATTTTACATTAAAAAATCTAATTTTGACACCATAATCACGACGCAGAAAGGATGATTGTCCGATTCGACATTAAAAAAATTAGACCGTTAATTTTCTTTTCTAGAATTCTGAGTTTTTCTTTTCGCTTTGCGAGGGAAAGATTTACTATTTCTAATAAAACTTTTATTATCTGTTGCAGAAACAATCAGCGACCAGCTTGTTGGCATGGGACTTCTGCAATTTCAACTTATTGGTTCGTACTTTGTTTGTTTTGTTTCTTATTGTGTTTTCAGAGATATGTCTCGTGTTCACTCTCGTGGTGCCTCGTCAACGGGTGTTCATCCACATCGGAGACAGCAAACCTTTCCCGGTGGCCTGGCAGCATAGATCTGGAACGAGTATGGATAGATCTCCTAATGTCTCACTATTAGGACAACACTATGTAGTCCGTTGCTTAGCGACCAGCTATTGTTTTGTCAGTGTTGTATTGTAAGAAAAATTGATATTGAAGTATACACTTATTATCGTCAAAGGTTCTTTATTTTAAACTATATATCTCCTACCGCTTTATCTTTAACATGGTAGCAGAGATTTAAAGATACAGTATGAATGTAAATAAGTTTTATTTCTAAGAAAGAAAATATTTTACTTTTCTTGCAAAAACTTGTAACTAGCCTGACGTCACTATGGAAAAGGGGATTGCAGAGGCATCGAAAGTTCAAGTAATGCACCTGGATGACAAAAACTATAAGCATTGGAGATATAGAATTGAAACAGTGTGCAAGGCAATTCCCGGAGCTGATGATATTTTAAACGGAAAAACCCGTAAGCCTGTTGAACCTTCAGCGACTGGTGTCGTTACCACCGATGCTGCCGCTAAGACGAAATATGAGAAGGATTTGTATCAATTTTTATTAGTTGACTGTGCTGTCTTGATTTTGAGGACGACAAACATGACAGATGAGATACTAGACCAAGTCATGCGATACAAAAGCTCTAAAGAGGTATGGGATGAGCTAGAACGTCTATATTGTGGAAGTAGCGAAGATAGAAGCTATGACCTATGTCTTAAGTTCTTTGATTACACAAAGGATCCTGAGCATGATATAAGAAAGCACATATCTACGTTGAAAAACATTTGGCATGATTTAAACGGCCAATTCGACACGAATCTGCCGGAAATATTGCTGATATGTAAAATTCTTGGCACTTTGCCCAAAGATTACTTTGCTTTCAAATCAAGCTGGCTCTTAGTAACAAAAAACGATCGGACAATTGACAACCTAACCTCACAGCTTAGTGCTTATGAAAAAGCCTTGGCAAGTAAAGAAGAAACAGAGAATTCTGAAGAAGTGTTAACAATAAAAACACAGAAGAAAAGAAAAGTTTTCAAATGCAATTATTGTGGACAAACTGGACATAGTGTTCGTAAATGCCAAAAGTGGATTAACGATGGACGTCCACCAAAGTCATCAAATGATGATAAGAAACCAAATGTAAACCTGACAGTGTTAGCTATAGAAGCTGGATTACCAATAGATAAGACAAACTGGTACGTCGATAATGGTGCGACAAGCCACGTCACAAACAGCGGTGATTTCTTCGAAAGTTTTGAACACTTTAAAAATTTACATACGGTGACTGCTGCAAATGGACAAACCATTGAAGCTATCGGAATAGGCAATATTAGAGCTGAAGCCAATGTCAATGGTAAAATTGAGCATATATTGCTAAAGGATGTTTGGTATGTTCCAAAGATTAAAAGAAACTTATTCTCAGTACTCTCTGCACACGATAACTCATCTGCAAGTACGTTTGAGTCTACGCCGAAACAATGCGTACTAAAAGTAAATGGAAATACCAAAGTAATTGGAACTAGAGAGATTAAAGGAGGACTATACAAGTTAAATATAAAATGTGTAACCCCTAATAATCAAGAAGTCAATCAGTTACTGTCTAATCCATTACAAGTGTACCATGAAAGGTTGGCACATCAGAATAAAAGACATGTGCGTCAGTTAATTGAACAAGAGTTTGGGTTAAAAGTTGAGAGTAGACAATCTGACATTTGCGAGGGCTGCATCTATGGAAAAGCTCATAAGCAATCTTTCGGTAAAAGGATTAGAGCCACTAAACCTGGTGAACTAATTCACACTGATTTTTGCGGACCTTTTCCATATTCGATTGGCAATAAGTTACGATATTATATTCTATTCAAAGACGACTATACACGCTATCGCTATATCTACTTTCTTAGTCATAAGTCTGAAGCAGCTTCAAAGCTTAAGCTATTCCTGCAACAAGCTAAAGTTGCGACACACACTGTCAAAGAAATGTTGAGTGATAATGGTGGAGAGTTTACAAGTATTGAATTCAAAAATATCCTAGCTCAATGCGGCATAAAGCAAAGATTTACAATGCCTCATACTCCCGAACAAAATGGATCTGTAGAGCGTGAGAACAGAACTGTAGTAGAAGCAGCTCGTGCTGTCATGCATGCACATGAGAAAATTCCTGATGGCCTATGGGCAGAAATAGTTGATGCGACAGTCTACGTGTTGAATCGCACAGGGCCGACTAGCGTGTCAGGAAAGTCTCCTCATGAGCTATGGTTCGGAAAGAAGCCAGCGATAAAACATCTTAGAATTTTAGGCTGCACATGCTATGCCCACATTCCTAAAGTAAATCGCAAGAAGCTTCAGGAAAAAGCTCAAAAAGGTATACTAATTGGTTACGAAGGTGATGAGGGCTATAGAATTTGGGATAAAGAATCATCCAAACTGATTAGATCCAGAGACGTGACATTCGAAGAGATTCCGCTACTGGGAAAATCTAGGGATGAACCTGAACCAGAAAAGCCAACACCTAACCTACGTAAAAACTACAACTTTTCTTTTCCAAGTCTCTCAGCACAAGTCGAAAAAAACGATTTCGAGACAAGCAACTGTTGAACGGAATGTAGTGATTGAAGAACAAAACGAAATTACTGAAGAAGTTTCTTCGTCAATGGCACGTTGTGAGACAGATGAAGAGACTGGTGACAATCCAAACGAGTCGTTGTTCGAATCAGCTCGCTCCGAAGAAGACAATGAAGAACTCACTGAAATTAATGAACCTGATGATCCTGAGTTAACCAATGAGGAAACTGAAAGACATCGGATGTCATTACGAAACAGAGAGAATCTTAAGCCACCTGTAAGGTTCGGCGATTACATCATGGCGCTCGAAGCTGATAGTATATTTGAACCGAAAACCTTCAAACAGGCGATGTCATGCAGAGATAAAGAGAAATGGCAACAAGCTATCGAAAGTGAACTGAACTCACTAAGAGAAAATAAAACTTGGGAGGTAGTCGAATTACCGAAAGGCAGGAAAGCAATTCCTTGTAAGTGGATATTCAAAGTTAAGACTAACCCGGATGGCTCTGTAGACAAATACAAAGCTCGGCTAGTCATAAAAGGGTACTCGCAAAGAAAGGACATAGATTTCCATGAAACTTTTAGTCCTGTTGCCAGAAGCAGCACTATAAGAGCATTGTTGAGCATTGCTGCGAAGGATAAGCTAAAATTAGCACAATTTGACGTCTCCACATCCTTTCTTTATGGAACTTTAGACGAAGAAGTCTATATGAAACCGCCTGAAGGTTATACTGGTGAAAAGCATGTCTTCAAGTTGAAGAAAAGCTTATATGGGCTTAAACAAGCCCCACTATGTTGGAACAGATGCATCACAGACTATATCATGAAGACAGGCTTCAAACAAAGCCAATATGACCCTTGTCTCTTCGTAAGGACAAGAGGGAAAGAGAAAATTATTCTAACCCTATACGTTGACGATGGTCTCATGGCGTCTTCAAGCGAGAAAGAGGCTAACTGTTTTCTAGAAGAAATGAGAGCACGTTTCAAAATAACAGTGAAACCAGCAAGCTATTTCCTTGAGATGGAGATAAAAAGGAACTCCGACGGCTCCATTCTTCTCCATCAGAAGGCATATATTGCACGTGTACTAAAACTGTTTGGCATGGAAGACTCTAAACCGGTGCGAACGCCGATTCTGAAGCCAAGTAATGTCCAAATAGATAGAGAAGTTGCTATAACTTTCCCATATCGAGAAGCAGTTGGTACCTTAGCATATTTGATGACAGGTACAAGGCCAGACATAGCCTATGCTGTTAGCGTGGCATCTCGTAATTTAGAAAAGCCAACAAAGGAGGATATACTTAACGTCAAAAGGATAATGCGCTATCTTAAAGGAACGATAGATGAAGGCATTACCTACAGACCGGATAAAGTCCTCAAGTTAGAATGCTATAGTGATGCTGATCATGGAGGTTGCATGGAAACTGGAAGGTCAACCTCGGGCATTTTATGCATGTACGCAGGAGGCCCGATATCATGGAGTAGCAAGCGGCAAAATACCGTGGCCATCTCCTCCACCGAGGCAGAAATTGTAGCTGCGAGTGAAGCCG